GAAAGGCAATACCCAAATTTTGATATGCAAACTCAAACGCATTGTTCATTGATACTTTTAACCATTTTACATACATTGAAGGACACAGTTACCCAGGATTGCTGGTGGTATCCCAACCATGATATCTAATGGGCATTAAATTTCCCGATCCAACATGAGCAAGTTTGGAGTACATTTTGTACTTATGCGAGGGGTTGCACGATAGGCCATCATGAGGTAGGGTAAATGGTCATCCCAATCATCTTTATTTTCATTTACAAACGCAGATAACATTGCGATCAGACTTCTATTTAAGTTCTATTAAAGCGCTCAACAAGGCCATCAGATTGTGGTCTATATGGAGTGGTGCTAGTTAACTCTATGCCTAAAAGTTTACAAAGTTCAAAGTTCAAAATTTTTTTCACTTTCGAATTCTCTTTCCTGATCAGTATGACTTTGATTTGGAACACCAAAACGTGAAATAAATTCAGTAGGAAGTTTGTCAGCAACTGTAAGGGCAATATGATCAGACACAGCGTATGCTTCTTTCCATTTTGAAAAATAGTCACCTACAACAATGATATACTCATTATTACAACTTTGTAATCAGCTTTATCATTCATTTCAGTCATTATTTCGAGAGGTAAAGAAGCCTCACTCCCGAATACCATACTGTCAGGTGTAATTCCAGTTACATATTTCATTGGGGGGGTGGTATTATAAGCAAGTAATAAACCATCCACGTATCTGTCCCAGTCAGTTTGAGATATCGTCAAGTATTTAGATAACATGTCCGTGATAGGTCTGTCCAGGAGTTCCACCGTTCCGTAAGATCGGGGCTGGTAAGCTGGTTATTCTGGTTTTATTTATCTCCATCACCTTGCATGAAATGGACTCCCCTTGGATAACCGTATCTTGTGATCCATCCTTTGAATATTACTTTTGCAATGGTTTCAGCTTCTGTTTTGTAGTGGGTATATCTCCATGAATTTTGTTATGTAATTAGCAACAACCAGTATGTACATTTGCTGATTTAAGAAATGGCCCTGAAATATCATTTGCTATTCGCTCCTTCTTTTCTTCAGTCAGATATCTTTTGATGAAGGCTCTTTTCTTACGGGTAGGTTTTTCCTTTCTTCGCATATTTCACATCAACTACAGTAACATTATCCTGTACATATCGTTGCACATGTGGCCAGTAAATATCTATTACCCGTTAGTTTTGCATAAGTTCTTTTTATTTCAAAATGTCTCGATGTTTCCGAATCATGAATATGCCACATTACTACATCACGTAATGATTTTATAGTACATATTTTATGTTTTTCACAATTATTTCTTATCCATCGGTAGCAAAGAACTCCTTTTTCCTCATCGTTAGAACCGGAATTCGATCGTTAATGTTTTTGTGTGAAAAAGAGGTAACGGCTGGTTCACTTAAATTGTTCTTTTTAAGTCGAAGTATTTCTTATATAACATCGTCATTCTTTTAGTTTCATTTGTCATCTTAATTCGCGGCTGCATTCTTTGTTTAGCTCGTGGGGGTATATTAGCACATCTATTTTGCTTATCTTTTCGCCGATTACCACTTTCATCTGTCGATACACAACACACTGTATTCTCACTATCGGGATAGATAAGTTTCACAATATGATAAACAATATTTTCCTAGGAATCACATAGAATAACACACAGTCTTCGTTACTCTTTTACTGTTTTGAAACATTTTCCACTTCAATTCATCTTCATTGGTTACGTAACGTCTAATGGGGAAGTACATTGATATCATTATATCTTGGCTTGATCGTCAATTACAGTGGCAGTTCTTTGGTTTGCTTTATTGTAATTCTGATATGATCTGTTCCAGTAAATGTTCAACCAAGCCTCTTTCGTTACTTCTCACTAAAATATTGACAGTAGTGAAGGAAAAACTTCAAGAGCACTGTGCAACTATATATTCAAGAAGTGGTGTAAATCAGATGTGGATACTTAAAAATTCTAAAGAACTTTTGGACAATTTGAAATCACAAGACTTTACAAAAATCAACAGCATAAAAACTTACGACTTTTCAACTTTATACACAACAATTCCCCACGACAAATTAAAATCCATGCTTTTTGATATCATTGACAGCTACTTCTTCAACAAAAATGGAACTCGTAAGTTTACTTACCTCGTCATTGGTCATTTGCTAAAATATTATCATTTTTGGAATATACAATTTTTGTTGAATAATTGTGTGACTTTGCTAAAGACAATTTATATTATTAGGACTATTTCAAAGTATCAGTTCAAAAAGTGCTTAAATATTTTCATTTTTGGAATATACACTTTTTGTTAGTTAATTGTGTGACTTTGCCTAACGTAAAAACAACATTCATTTAGATGATCTCTGATTACCTATGTTTTTGTTTCCAAAGTAGAAATTTATATTTTACAGAGGAAAAAGGAATGTTAATTTATGATTTGTATACTACTTTAAAATTCTAATTAATTAACCTGCATTGTCACAACAGACATAGGCATTTACTTCAGTGAAATCAGTGGGGACAATGTCTTCAGGCCTGGTATTTTCAAGTACACAGTAGCAAGTGAACAGCATCACTTCTATGTACAGTTTTTAACAGGTGCTTATAATATATCCCAGAATAGGTTCATTCACACCAGATACATTGGTGATTAGAAAAGGCACCTGAATTGCACTACCTTGTTCTAACAATTTGAAACTGATAGCAAGAAAACCTTCAATAGGAATATCTGAGCCAGATGCAGATACTAATGAAAATTTCTCTTGACTGTTAAAATTCTTCAACACTTTAAACTACATCTTGACAATAATCCCTACTTAGCAGTGCAACTTGGCTTCTGTATCCTATAATGCTTCCACATGCTTCTGATAATACAATAATTCAATTATACACAGATATGACACGGCTTACGAACAGTTATACAATATTCAGCCCAATATTGTCAACATCACCTTTTGTTTCATTTACAGAAATTGTTGAAAAATTTGTGAGTCTAACATTCAGCAAAAAAATGGTGTTCATATCTTTGACAGCATTACATTTTCTTTTTCTATGCAACCGAATGTGCTATCTGACATTTTACACCACAATATGTAGTTTGTGCAAACTAACTTTGATATTTTCCTTGGAGAATGGAGGACGACATGATAAACAGCTCTTTGGACATTTCATTTGCTGGGCCTCCAACTGTCCCTCTGCGGATTCCCAACTGCGGCGGTTTCGTTTTTGAACACCGTTGTCGACGATGACAGATCCACAACATGTCAAGCAGTGGTCGCAACGTTTGCCGTTGGCTTGGTAGTTAGATCCCACCTCTGATGTTTCAGAGGTCCGTGTTTGCTCTGCTCTTATTTTACCTGATCCCACCTCTGATGTTTCAGAGGTCCGTGTTTGCTCTGCTCTTATTTTGTATATTTGTTTAATGGACGTTGAGATTGAATACTGTTCGTTATTTCCATATCCTTCTTCTTACTTTATACCAGGGACAGCGGGCTCTATACCAGCGCAAGTGAGTTAAGGCTTAATATGGATATTTTTATGCAAATAAGCTAATGAAAATTCATAATTTGTATATTTTATGTACAGAGAAGGTTCAAATTGATTTTCTGATACATACTCAATACCCACAGTTTATTAATGCAAGTACACATTATGACGTCATTGTTCTCTCCCATTCAAGGTTTTAAATCATATAAACAAAATCACGTCGGCGCAATGGCCTATCCTATCTAATTTAAAATAAACAATGTATGATATTAAGGTGAATATTCTTAAAAGTAATTAAATTGCTGCACAAATCCTATGCACTTTCTCAATTGATAAAAATTTTAAGAAACTTACCCTCGACAGTGGATTTTTACCCTGTTAAAACTTAAAACTGCACGAATAGTAAGTAACCAATTGCACTGCCGACATTTGTGCAGCAATATCGTTAATCATTGGAATATCCTGCGTCTTTTGATACCTTGTTTTTGTAAAACAAAGTAAGGTATGCCCTTGCGCCGAAGCGATTTTGTTGATGTTTCTTATAAACTTGTGTAGTACAGGTCGATGACGTCATAATATGACGTAATAATGTGTACTGGCTATCACATGTCGTGGGTACCAAGAATGTTTTACAAAACAAGTCTTAGAATTTTCTGTGCGGTAGGTAGAGCAATTATGGAATTAAATTAGATATTTTGTATAGAAATTTCAATATGTAGCCTTAACTCACATGCGAGGGACAGCGGGCTCTATACCAGGGACAGCAGGCTCTATACGAGGGACAGCAGGCTCTATACCAGGGACAGCGGGCTCTATACCAGGGACAGCGGGCTCTATACCAGGGACAGCGGGCTTCACAAGAGTGACAGCTGGCTCTATACCAGGGACAGCAGGCTCTATACCAGAGACAGCGGGCTTCACAAGAGGGACAGCAGGCTCTATACCAGGGACAGCAGGCTTTATACCAGGGACAGCAGGCTCTATACCAGGGACAGCAGGCTCTATACCAGGGACAGCAGGCTCTATACCAGGGACAGCAGGCTCTATACCAGGGACAGCAGGCTCTATACCAGGGACAGCAGGCTCTATACCAGGGACAGCAGGCTCTATACCAGGGACAGCTGGCTCAATACCAGGGACAGCCTCTTACCAGGGACAGTTCAACAGGGCAGCGGGCTATCCTACCAGGCAGGCTTATACCAGCGGGCTTCTGATAAGGGACAGCAGGCTCTATACCAGGGACATTCTTTATACCAGGGACAGCAGGGCTACCAGGGACAGCTATACCAGGGACAGCGACAGGCTCTATGGACAGGCGGGCTCTATACCAGGGACAGCGGGCTTTTACAGACCAGGGACAGCAGGCTCTATACCAGGGACAGCAGGCTCTATACCAGGGACAAAAAGGGGCTCTATACCAGGGACAGCGGGCTTCTCTATACCAACAGACAGCTGGCTATGCTCTATTTGACATTTTACCAGGGACAGCGGGCTTCACAATACAGCTATACCAGGGCAAATAAGGGACAGCAGGACAGCTGGCAGGCTCTATACCAGGGACAGCGGGCTTCACAAGAGGGACATGGCTCTATACCAGGGGCAGGCTCTATACCAGGGACAGCGGGCTCTATACCAGGGAAGCAGGCTCTATCCAGGGACAGCGGACAGGCTCTATACCAGGGACAGGGCTCTATACCAGGGACAGCAGGCTCTATACCAGGGACAGCTGGCTCTATACCAGGGACACAGACAGCAGGCTCTATACCAGGGACAGCATACCAGGGACAGCGGGCTTCACACCAGGGACAGCGGCCTCTATACCAGGGACAGCGGGCTCCTCTTCAGGGACATCAGGCACCACAGCAGGAACAGCGGGCTCTATACCAGGAACAGCGGGCTCTATACCAGGGACAGCGGGCTCTATACCAGGTACATCGGGCTCTATACCAGGGACAGCGGGCTCTATACCAGGAACAGCGGGCTCTATACCAGGGACAGATTTTATTTCTAAACCAGGGACAGCAGGCTCTATAATTACCAGGGACAGCAAAAGGGACAGCAGGCTCTATACCAGGGACAGCTACCATGGACAGCGGGCTCATACCAGGGACAGTGGGCTCTATACCAGGGACAGCGGGCTTCAGGGACACAGGCTCTATACCAGGGACAGAGGCTTGAGCGGGCTCTATACCAGGGACAGCGGGCTCTATACCAGGGACAGCGGGCTCTATACCAGGGACAGCAGGATCTATACCAGAGACAGTGGGCTTCACAAGAGGGACAGCTGGCTCTATACCAGAGAAAGCGGGCTTCACAAGAAGGACAGCAGGCTCTATACCAGGGACAGCAGGCTCTATACCAGGGACAGCGACAGCAGGCTCTATACCAGGGACAGCAGGCTCTACCAGGGACAGCAGGGCTCTATACCAGGGACAGCGGGTTTAATACCAGGGACAGACAGCTGGCTCTATACCAGGGACAGCTGGCTCTATACCAGGGACAGCTGGCTACCAGGGACAGCAGGCTCTATACCAGGGACAGCAGGCTCTATACCAGTGACAGCAGGCTCTATACCAGGGACAGCAGGCTCTATACCAGGGACAGCAGGCTCTATACTATGGACGGCAGGCCCTATACCAGAGACAGCGGGCTTCACTAGAAGGACAGCAGTCTCTATACCAGGGACAGCAGGCTCTATACCAGGGACAGCAGGCTCTATACCAGGGACAGTGGGACAGCGGGCTTCACTGGGCTCTATACCAGGGACAGCAGTCTCTATACCAGGGACAGCAGTCTCTATACCAGGGACAGCGGGCTCTATACCAGGGACAGCAGGCTCTATACCAGGGACAGCAGTCTCTATACCAGGGACAACGGGCTCCACTAGAAGGACAGCAGTCTCTATACCAGGGACAGCAGGCTCTATACCAGGGACAGCGGGCTCTATACCAGAGACAGCGGGCTTCACAAGAGGGACAGCAGGCTCTATACCAGGGACAGCGGGCTCTATACCAGGGACAGCAGGCTCTATACCAGGGACAGAAGTCTCTATACCAGGGACAGCAGCCTCTATACCAGGGACAGCGGGCTCTATACCAGGGACAGCAGGCTCTATACCAGAGACAGAGGGCTTCACAAGAGGGACAGCGGGCTTAATACCAGGGACAGCAGGCTCTATACCAGGGACAGCGGGCTCTATACCAGGGACAGCAGGCTCTATACCAGAGACAGCGGGCTTCACAAGAGGGACAGCAGGCTCTATACCAGGGACAGCAGGCTCTATACCAGAGACAGCAGGCTCTATACCAGAGACAGCGGGCTTCACAAGAGGGACAGCAGGCTCTATACCAGGGACAGTGGGCTCTATACCAGGGACAGTGGGCTCTATACCAGGGACAGCAGGCTCTATACCAGGGACAGCAGGCTCTATACCAGGGACAGCAGGCTCTATACCAGGGACAGCTGGCTCTATACCAGGGACAGCGGGCTCTATACCATGGACAGCAGGCTCTATACCAAGGACAGCAGGCTGTATACCAGGGACAGCGGGCTTCACAAGAGGGACAGCTGGCTCTATACCAGGGACAGCAGGCTCTATACCAGGGACAGCAGGCTCTATACCAGGGACAGCGGGCTCTATACCAGGGACAGCTGGCTCTATACCAGGGACAGCTGGCTCTATACCAGGGACAGCGGGCTCTATACCAGGGACAGCAGGCTCTATACCAGAGACAGAGGGCTTCACAAGAGGGACAGCGGGCTTAATACCAGGGACAGCAGGATCTATACTAGGGACAGCAGGCCCTATACCAGGGACAGAAGGCTTTATACCAGGGACAGCAGGCTCTATACCAGGGACAGCAGGTTCTATACCAGGGACAGCTGGCTTTATACCAGGGACAGCGGGCTTCACAAGAGGGACAGCGGGCTCTATACCAGGGACAGCGGGCTCTAAACCAGGGACAGCTGGCTCTATACCAGGGACAGCGAGATTCACAAGAGGGACAGCTGGCTCTATACCAGGGACAGCAGGCTCTATACCAGGGACAGCGGGCTCTATACCAGGGACAGCGGGCTCTATACCAGGGACAGCGGGCTCTATACCAGGGACAGCGGGCTCTATACCAGGGACAGCGGGCTCTATACCAGGGACAGCAGGCTCTATACCAGGGACAGCGGGCTTCACAAGAGGGACAGATGGCTCTATACCAGGGACAGCAGGCTCTATACCAGAGAAAGCGGGCTTCACAAGAAGGACAGCAGGCTCTATACCAGGGACAGCAGGCTCTATACCAGGGACAGCTGGCTCTATACCAGGGACAGCAGGCTCTATACCAGGGACAGCAGGCTCTATACCAGGGACAGCAGGCTCTATACCAGGGACAGCGGGCTCTATGCCAGAGACAGAGGGCTTCACAAGATGGACAGCGGGCTTAATACCAGGGACAGCAGGCTCTATACTAGGGACAGCTGGCTCTATACCAGGGACAGTTGGCTCTATACCAGGGACAGCGGGCTCTATACCAGGAACAGCGGGCTTCACAAGATGGACAGCTGGCTCTATACCAGGGACAGCGGGCTCTATACCAGGGACAGCAGGCTCTATACCAGAGACAGCGGGCTTCACAAGAGTGACAGCTGGCTCTATACCAGGGACAGCAGGCTCTATACCAGAGACAGCGGGCTTCACAAGAAGGACAGCTGGCTCTATACCAGGGACAGCAGGCTCTATACCAGGGACAGCTGGCTCTATACCAGGGACAGCGGGCTCTATACCAGGGACAGCTGGCTCTATACCAGGGACAGCGGGCTTCACAAGAGGGACAGCAGCCTCTATACCAGGGACAGCGGGCTCTATACCAGGGACAGCAGGCTCTATACCAGAGAAAGCGGGCTCTATACCAGGGACAGCAGGCTCTATACCAGGGACAGCGGGCTTCACAAGAAGGACAGCAGGCTCTATACCAGGGACAGCAGGCTCTATACCAGGGACAGCTGGCTCTATACCAGGGACAGCAGGCTCTATACCAGGGACAGCTGGCTCTATACCAGGGACAGCTGGCTCTATACCAGGGACAGCAGGCTCTATACCAGGGACAGCAGGCTCTATACCAGGGACAGCGGGCTCTATACCAGGGACAGCAGGCTCTATACCAGGGACAGCGGGCAGGGGCTCTATACCAGGGACAGCTGGCTCTATACCAGGGACAGCGGGCTCTATACCAGGGACAGCAGGCTCTATACCAGGGACAGCAGGCTCTATACCAGGGACAGCAGGCTCTATACCAGGGACAGCGGGCTCTATACCAGGGACAGCAGGCTCTATACCAGGGACAGCAGGCTCTATACCAGGGACAGCGGGCTTCACAAGAGTGACAGCTGGCTCTATACCAGGGACAGCGGGCTTCACAAGAAGGACAGCAGGCTCTATACCAGGGACAGCTGGCTCTATACCAGGGACAGCGGGCTCTATACCAGGGACAGCAGGCTGTATACCAGGGACAGCGGGCTTCACAAGAGGGACAGCGGGCTTAATACCATGGACCATGGGCTCCTCTTCAGGGACATCAGGCACTACAGAAGGGACAGTGGGCTCATCCTGGACAACGGGCTCTTCTTCAGGGACAGTAGACTCCTGACAAATTGTATAATAAGTGAAATCGTACCTACTTCAGTCAGCTTTTGATATTTATCAACTGATTAAACAGCTGTGAGCTGTGGACTCCCCTGGCAGATTATACCCGGTACTGCCAACCTACATATTCTGCTACCAGCTGAAATTCCTCCTGTCCTTGAAGTCCTTATTCATGAGGACTGGAACATTCCTCTTGGGAGGTCTGTGTCCAGTTCAAACAGACTGGACTTCCTGGAGAACCACCGCTGGGGGCGGTGAAGGAAACTCTGAAAACCTGGTATTTGTACCTTTACTTTCCAGCTGGAACACCTCAGGTTCCCCAAGTCTTTCTTCTGCAGTAGTGGTAGGCTGCTGGACAGAGTTCTGATGCCATGACAAGGAGGGCTCATTTAATGTCGGGGATAAAATAAATGTACTTGAATTCAAGATGATTTATGGCAGATCCTTAAACATATTCTCTCAAATACTTGCTGATAATAATATACAGAGGTATCAAGTTTTGATATGTTATTAAATGGTAACCACAGCTGTGAAATCAGGTTCTAAATCTAGCGCAGCGGGCACCACAGAAGGGACGATGGGTATCATATCTGGCACCACACCAGAGACAGCGGACTCTATACCAGGGACATCGGGCTTCACAAGAGGGACAGCGGAATCCTCTTCAGGAAAAGCGGGCTCCTCCTCATGGATAGCAGTGTCCTCCTCAGGAACAGCGGGCTCTATACCAGGGACAGTGGACTCCTTCTCAGGGAGAGCGGGCTCCAAACCAGGGACACGGGCTCCTCCTTAGGGACAGCTGGTGGGGGAAGCCACACACAGCTGGCACCAAACAGACCTCACAGGATCCTGAAAATGAAGCGAAGCCACCTCCAACTCTATCCATAATAGTATGAAGTAAGTTACATGTATTAAAATTATATTCATTAAGGTCAGACGACTCGTTCCTCAAATATATGCTTCGTATCTCTTGGTAATATATAAAAAAATCTTTTCATATTTGTCATTCTCTTCTGATTTCTACATAATCAAATATGAATAATTCACAAAGTATCTAATTAAATATCAACTGTGACACTTGCTGCATAAGGAAGTGGCCGATAATTACGTTTTCAATACCAACTTCTTCGCGTAAATAATTTGCAAGGGAAAGCATCTCTTGTGCAATTTTTCAGGCCTTACTTTCAGCAACAATGTCATTTTTGTCGTCGGTCTGAAAAAAAAACATATATTTGGGACGTTTTCGAAAAGCACAATGTTTACATTGCGGTATCGTCCAAACAGACCTGGATCCTTTTCCTCGAATTGTCACAAGGAACTGACCAGTGTCCAATCGCAGATTAGGAATGTTATGGTGAGTTGCATAACGTTGCACGTACGAATGGCCAACTATTCCTACAGAATATGTTTGATCCGCCGCCGTGACCGACTATCCCTTGAGTCCTGCACATAAACAATTATTTCTTCCAATGATGCAACCAACGATTAGTTCGTTATAAAGTAAAACCCAAGGTATGGTAACTATCGGTTTATTGCCTGACGTCACGGCGTCAGGCTGTATAAGAATTGATAATTGCTTGATCCGAAACTAGTAGATCATACCCAGAGAGCTAGATTTTGTGCAAGCTGATTTACATTGGAAATCTTTAACCTGCATTTTAAAAGAAACAAGGGAAACAATGATTTTACTGATGCAAAATAATGCAGTATTTACTTCGTTTACTCTGTTTGCATGAAACAATATATCCATGTGATTTACCGTTTCAATGTGTCCGTGTATCTTTTTTCTGCATTTCTATACTACTGGATCAGTCCATTTATGTTCTAAAAAGGGGTGAATTGCTCTTTTCGGACCAAATGTCACAAGTAAGCGATCTTCGCGCCTTTTCTTGGGATTGTTCTATTGTATGAATGGGGGTGCTAACTTCCATGGAATTAAATACAGTTTGTTATTGTAACCTCCATCTACCTATGTTTCAGAAATTCTATCCACAACATATATCTTATTCCTTAAAACAACATATGAATCGTATGTGTCAGAATATGGACATGCAAAGCAAATGAAATGATTTCTGTAATTTGTTTCCCCTCTGTTGTTTTATTTCATATTTTAATGGACTAGTCCAATCACCACAAAAGATCGACGCAGTCCAACCAGGTTCCAGAGGATTTGACGAAAGAAATTACCTGTGCGAAATCTTGGATTTCTTTTCCACAAAGGCCTAAATTATGGTTTTACCTATTTCATCCTCAAAAAAATATAGTACCCACGTTTCAAGATCACTGAACACAAACTACTACTGTTTACTTCATTGGAGAAAATGCTTTCCTACAACATATGTATTTAGTTATATCCATTCTTGAAAATGTTCACAATGAATGATTTGACAACAGATTTCAGAAAAGGTGTAGTTTAAAATTTAGATCCAGGGGTAGATCAAAGTCAATCGCATCATCTCGGGTCTTTTCGTCAAATGTCAAAAAACATACTCGAAAGTATCGACATCATCGGATGTTAAAAATTTATACGTTCCCTGTTCATAGTAAAAAACGGAGTTAGAAGTAGTATATTTTAGATAATATCATTACATTGAGTAAAGGTAACTCCATATTCCACAGACAAAAGGTCTATATACATCATCCATGCTTTTATTTCAGTTTGTGAAAGGGGGAGGGGGTGTCATTGCGTATAAATGTGGTCTCCTTCCCTAGATAAGGCCCGAGGAGTGGGACCAAAGTGTTGTGATTGGCAGAAAACCCACATACATTAACCATTCTGCTAACAACTCTTCAGAATGCACATGGGCGTAGCAACAGGGGGGGGGGGGCTGTCCCCTTTTTTTCCCAACCTTACTTGTACTATAGGAAATTTGAATGTTTTTTTTGCTTGTCAACTTGTTCAGGTAAGTAAAAAGAAAAATGCCACTGGCTACCCCCCCCCCCCCCCACACACACACACTTTCAAAATCGATGCTACGCCACTGATGCAGCCAAGACATCATTCTTTTACAAGTTAAATAATTAAATATTTTTACAAGGTTCTCTCAAATAAAAAGACAGCACAAAAAAGTATTGCTCAAAAGGTTTATAACTTCTCTCACAGATATTGATTGATTACGTCAGGCAAGCTTTTTGAAAAGCTGTTACTTGTTTACATATAGGTTACAAATATACACTGTATGCCGGGTGGGTCCTGGCACGGGTTGAGACTCACAGACTATCAAATGCGTCTGTCTTCCTTACCATCCTTGGCGGAAAAGAGGCCCGTGTGACTGTCCCGCCATCACTTTGTCAGTAGGTCGTGCCACGGGACAGTCGCACAGATACTACAGTAATAACATGCACAATTCATAACGTTCGTAACAGAAACAAAAACTTACAAATGTCAAATTCAACATGAAGAAATTCTTTATGCAATTTTGGAAAGTGAATGATTTTAAATAGAAAACAAAAAGTGAAAAAAACACCGTTTCATTACATATTAGAAGGGAAATGAAAAAGAAGTAGGCACGTTAACTCCAGATTCCCGCCTACAGATGTAGACGATATTTTCCACTGAAATTGGGCTTTAAATCATAATCTCTTCAATGAAAAAGTAATTGATATGAATAAATGTTTAATGTTTTTATGCATATAAAATCGAACATTTGCACTTGTAAAATACAATGTTTTATTTGTTCAGCACTATGAAAAATCCAAATGTCTCAACATGAAGTCGTTAGCGGAATTGATAAGGTCGCGGACACCTAAGCAGGAGAAAGACCACGGTTCGATTCTGGGCATGGGAGCAATTTTTTTTCTTGTATTATTTTTTTCCCTATTTTTTGAAATTCGGCATGAGATCATTTAATGTTATTATACCAGGAAAAAGTGAAATAAAATTTTTAGGTAAAAAAATATGCCGATTATTCGATAAAAAGATTCAACTGAATGATCATGGAAAGGTCACTGAAATGTATGTGCCATTCAGTCGACTGAATTGTAACTGAATGATCACAGAAAAGTCACGGGAAAAGGGCTTTTCAGTGACCTTTCAGTGACCATTTAGTGGCCATTCAGCCACTTGACCATTCAGTCGACTGAATGGTGGATTTTCATCCTGAGTTAGATATAGACGTGATTGGGAGAGGGGGATTTTTATTGTTTTTCGAGGACATAGTAATATTTTAAATTTAAATATCAAAATTATGGGTAAATTCATGCTCCTTAAAAATGCAAGCTAATCAAATAAAGAGAATTATTCAAATTCAAAAGAAAAGATAGGCATAATGGTGCTATGAATTTGATTAAAGTCACGTTAAATGTTTCTACGAATTTAATAAAGTTAAGTTAAATTTTATAATTATCAACAGTTCTATAAATTTAACAAAAATTGTGTTTAATTTAGTAATAATCAACACTAGCGGCTAAACATACGAGGGTTGTCCCAAAATTTCGTAGACTGAGCTCATATCTTTTAAAGAAATTAATGTATCTTTATAAAATTTTCAGGGTGGATAAAGCGTGTTCTTGGCAGATAAATTACGAAGTTTTATCATGTTTACTTCAAAACTTTTCGAGTAATAACATTTAAAGTGATGTCATTCTCTAACACCCGGAGCAATCTGCAACGTCAAAAAATACAAATGTCAACGGTTCAAAATTTTGGAGAAAATATGTCAACTACCGGAATCAAATTCTTAAATCAAACGAAACGGTTATAGTTATAAATGTGAAATATCTTAATTACTATAGGATTAAACGTTCTTTTTTCAGAATTTATCGATGTGTAAACTCTGCCTTTTTACTCACAAACTGAATAAAAGTGCGAAGCACTTTTATGTTAAGTTTGTGAGTAAAAAGGCAGAGTTTACACATCGATAAATTCTGAAAAAAGAACGTTTAATTCTTATAATTCCAATATTACGAATTTTTTTAAATTATTAAAATTATTTCTCTTTGAGGCCGCCATACAATCCGTTATTTTGTACGGCGTAGGAATACTTTATGCCGCAAAGAAACGTATACAAGATTTATAGATAAAATCCAACTTTATTTGTCAAAACAATCAATAATTAAATTTATAAAACCTCATTGAATGTTGTTTAAGTCAACAAATATCGTAAATACGCGAATTCTCCAAAATAATTCGTCCTTGACCATGGCCATGTTGACGTCATGACGAAAGTTGAAGACCGACGACGTCCTCGATTTGCTCTGGTTCGTTCAAAGATTTAGGGAGAATATGGGATCTGTAGGATGTAAATATATGATTTGATGCTGAAAAGGCAAGAGTCTGAGGTACGTTTCTTTTCCCTATCACATTACGATACCAGCTGAGTTGATATGGAACGTCGAGAAAATGACAGCATGATCAGCGATTTCAAAATAGGGCCTATTTCACACTCGTGATCCGACAATGACATAAACATAATATTCCCGTCTGTCAGTCCTGTTTATCTCCTTTTCATTCATTTATTCATTCATTTTTTTTTTATAAGTTTCTTGTAATCATAATTTAGCTAAAACGGACTACAAGTATCTGTTTTCATTGATTTTACAACAGTCAAGAAAGTAGTTCTTGTTGAAAAATTCATCGATGTGTAAACTTTTTCTTGAATTTGTTCTCGTCCAATCAAAACGCAAGGAATCGATAAATAAAATTAAGATTGGAATTATTACGATATGATTTAACATTAAAATATGTAAACAAAGTATATGCATGTACAGGTATGAAATAATAATAATTTGAAAACGCTATATTTCTACGGGCTTTTCGTCCATTTTCTCTAATGGATTTGCACAATGGAACCTTTGCCCATTTCTTAGCCCTGTCGTTTATTTTAATTACTGTTTTTGACATATACATAGAGAAACCGTTTTAGTCATTTTAAATACTAAGGAGGAGAAAAAGTTTCCTAGTCTACCAAACATTTATGACTGTTACATTTCTGTAAGAGTGAATTCAGGATCAAAACAGTTGATCATAGTCCAGTGCGCCGCCTGGGCCAACGCCGCCGCCATTTTTAAAAAATTCGGATTTTAACCCCTTGTATATAAAACGTTATAAAATTCATATTTATCAAAGCATACACACCAAAATTTAAGGAAATATAGTTAATAAAACAATATTAAGAATTTTCATTTCCATTAAAAAATATGGGGTACTAGTAATTACTTTTCCGTATGATTTTGAATATAATATACCAAATTTTAATTGCATCTTTTGGATATTGCGCCGCCTTCCTACACCAGACAATGAAATGCGTCTTTTAAATTGGAATAATTTGTGTAGTAACTCCATATTTGTCCATAAATTTATTAGATAGTGTTTGTTTAATCTATATACGAAGTTTCATTCATGTATGACGTAGGGTTCCTACAAAACAATGCTTGTCTACGGAATTTTGGGACAACCCTCGTAAGTCAATCCCAGTGACTGTGACATTTTTTTTCCTCTCAGTTCACAATGACTGTTTACATTTTCATTCATCCGGGTTTTCTTGTAGAATGTGACCTCATTTTTCTTTTATCTCAGTTTACAACACACAGTTTTCATTTTTATCTATCTTGGTGCTTTTCTACGATGGGACTGACTGACGGAAATGAAGATATTGCTGATTTTTTTTCTATGTTTGCATTTTTTTCTTCCGTTTTGATATATATCTTTTATTGCATGTCGACATTTATCTTTAGTTTTTTCCTGTGCATGTTTAACCCTGTTTTGAAGTAACCAATCCTTTAAGATGTAGCTTTCTTTTCTATTTATGAAGTTGTTTTTTTCCGTTTTGGAATTCTTCCTTCTTCCTTCATACAATATTAATTTAATATTTATTTACTTACTGCTACTTATTTATAATAATTTCAAATTAATGTACAATCATAGCTTAACAAACAATAATAAATTCAAGAAATGATTTTTTCCCATTCTTGTGCATTCATTTAAATCAAAACTTCGCTGGTGTTACCAAACACACTACAAAAATATATGTTCTGCCAAAAGTATAGAATATGCCCTTTTCAATAAAAATGAGAATAAAAATATGTACCTTTGCAAATATTTATGTAAGCATGCATCCAACCCCTTCAAAATTAAACATGACGCATGACAATTTAAATACCATGGAAGTCCATGTATTTATTAAAGCAAAACAAAATCAAATTTCAATTGAATAAAGTAAAAAAAAAGCATAATAAACACACTTCTGCCTCTTGTAATATCATAAAGCAATTCAAAGCAATTTGGGGTATTTACAACTCCAAAAAATATAAAAATTTATGAGACTAAATATTCGGATACAATACCTAATGAAAATTAATTTAAGCTTATAAAAGATAAAATTATTCCTTAAAAGGATGGGGGTATATTAAATAATATGTACATTTTCCTCTGCTACGAGTATAAAAAATGTCATTCTTAATTTTTTTTAACAATGGTTTTGTCACGGTCAGTTCTAGTAAGATCATCTCAATTAAATTGTAGTTTCAGAACAAAAATAAATAAGGAAATAGAGACTGGTTTTATGGGTGAACAGATAAGATACTTCTGATAAAGATTGTCGATTGTCAAGAAATACACGGCGGTGTGATCGGTCATCAGGGGATGCTCACACCTCAAAGGCACCTGATCCCACCTCTTATGTTAGGAGGTCCGTGTTTGCCTTGCTCCTTTTCTGTAATGATTTATGGACTTTTGAGAAGGAATATTGCTCTTTATCTACATATCCTGAAAGAGGTGCTGTATCTTTGTCTATTTATGAAGTTGTTTTTTTTGGAATTTCTTCCTTATTCTTTAAAAATATTCATTTAATATTTATTTCCTCACTGTTACTTATTTATAATGATTACTAATTTAAGCACAGTCATACCTTAACAAACAGAAGTAAACTAACGATATAAATTCTATAGCAGGACTTTATGCATAAAATTTAATATTTAATAATAAAACCCACATAATGTCACAAATATTTATACAAACATGCATCCAACCCCTTCAAAACTATAAGCAACGAATGATAATTCAAATATGCAAGTACATGTACTTAATATACCGAAAGTATCTGCTTTTAATTTTTATATACAGTTTCATAATTCAATGCCAATAAGATAAAATACGCATAATAAACATTTTTGTGTATTTATTAATGCCATAAAGCAATTTAAACTTATTATGACACTTTACAACTTCGAAAACTATCAAAAATACAAAAAGACATATTATTTGGTGAAAATTGATTTAAAAGCATGAAAGATAGATTTCTTCCTAAGAAAGGTTGGGAGATGTTAGATAGTATAGATATTCCTCTGCTACAAGAATAACAAGTGCCTCTCTTTAATTTTTCATGGTCAGTTCTATGAGATCAGCTCAGTTAAATTACTGTTTCAAAAACACATTAAGGAGAAAAAAGATTGGTGTTTGGGGACAGATACAATACTTCTGAAAAGATTGTCGATTAACAAGGAACAGACAGCGGGTGTGACCATTTGGCATGGAATGCTCACACATCCATGGCACCTGATCACACCTCCGATGTTTTAAAGGTCCTTGTTTGCTCTGCTCCTTTGTATAATGTTTAATGGATTTTCGAGCTGGAATATTGTTGTTTATCTCCATATATTTCATATATTTTAGAGGTACTGAATGTTTTGAGGTCATTATATACACGAAGTGGCACTGGTACCTTTTGAATAATTTTCAATTCACAAGGTAATTTATTAGTTTAATTCATATTAGAATTGCCTTTGAAAAATTAAAAACAAACTTAAAAATATTCTTTAGAATTAAAACAATCTTAAGTAAGTATTAAAAATTCTACTTGTGTTGTAATTGTACCTTCAAGAGATTAAAGCAGTGAAAAAAATAAATACAAAAGTTTCATTAATATTGATTTATTTATTAATATTTATCAATTAAAAATATAGTATTTAAAAACAATATGTCCATTTTAAGTTTTTAAAATAGGTATCTACAAAATAACGTTTTTATAATGCTATTCACTACCAGCATTACTCTGAATTTGACCTATGACCCATCATCCTGAATACTTTATTATTTTTTCTTGACTTTCGAATGAAATTCGCTGCTGAACGTTTAAGTGTTGTGGTAGAGTAATATTTTAGGGAAACTTTTAACTTCCCGTTTTAAGGGTATATAAACTACGGATTATTTTAGGGAAGCTTATTTTCAGACAGCGTGCAAGTAAAACCATGGCAGGAGTTTTGTTGGCTATCTTCGTGTACGTCTTGCTCTTTTGTGCGGCTAGTTGTCAGAAAATCTATATTGACGAAAAAAATTACTGCAACCGTAATGATCAGACGATTGAAATATTGAACGATAAGATTGAGTACTTAAGACAGGAGAACGCGAGACAAGCTGAGTCTTTAAAACACGAAAATACGCGGATTGCGGTTAATCAAAAGAACATTCAAGAAGAATTCAATGAGTTGTTTAACATCCTAATGAAAAATGTAACCAACATCCACGAAGATTTGAAGAGCAATATACTGCAAACCATCAACGAAAAGATTGAGTACTTACGACAGGAGAACGCGAGACAAATTGAATCCTCAAAACGAGAAAACGCGAGACAAATTGAGTCCTTAAAACGAGAAAACGCGAGACAAATTGACTCCTTAAAACAAGAAATCGCGCAGATTAAGAAAAATGAAACTAACATCCACGACGATTTGAAGAGCAGTATACTGGAAACCATCAAAGCAGGTCACTCTCTCTCTCTCTCTCTCTCTCTCTCTCTCTCTCTCTCTCTCTCTCTCTCTCTCTCTCTCTCTCTCTCTCTCTCTCTCTCTCTCTCTCTCTCTCTCTCTCTGTCTCTCTCTCTCTCTCTCTCTCTCTCTCTCTCTCTCTCTCTCTCTCTCTCTCTCTCTGAAAAATGAAACTCTCTCTCTCTCTCTCTCTCTCTCTCTCTCTCTCTCTCTCTCTCTCTCTCTCTCTCTCTCTCTCTCTCTCTCTCTCTCTCTCTCTCTCTCTCTCTCTCTCAGAGTATATTACGGTTATTACCATGTCATGTATTTATGTTGTTGTTTTTTCTTTCAGAGTTATATAAAGATTGTAAGAAACTCTATATCCATGGCAATACAGAATCTGGTGTTTATGAGATATATCCATTTGGTATTGAAAGCAAGGTCAGCGTCTTCTGTGACATGATGACCGAAGGTGGAGGGTGGACAGTAAGATCTCTCTATCCTTCTATCCCTCCTCAATTTCTCTCTTTCTTTTCTCTCTCTCGCTCTCTCTCTCTCTTAAGCTCAACCATTAATCTCTCTCCCTTTCTCTTACTCTCTCTTTCTCTCTCTCCCTCTCTCGTTAGCTCAACCATAAATTTTAACTACTATTTCTTTAATAATTTTTTAAACTTTGATTTTAAAACTGCAATCATTTTTTTAGCTGAATTAACATTGAATTATTTTTTAGCCTTGTTTACAGGAGGATAATAAAATTCCGAAATAAATATATCAATTACAAAGTAGAAAAAAATTATATATCATAATTTTGATAACAAAGTTTTTTTTTTCAACTTTAAATAGTTGTTGGTATTAATATAATTAAAGAAGACTTATATATGAAGGATATGGAAATAACGAACAGTATTCAATCTCAACGTCCATTAAACAAATATACAAAATAAGAGCAGAGCAAACAAATATATGAATCTTTTGTGTTTAAATCATAACTTTAAAAAATTTAACTTCACTACTTTCTTTACTAAACCCGATATAAATCATAAATCCTTAGGCTATCCAGAGACGTGTGAGTGGTTCGGTGTCATTCGACAGAAACTGGACAGACTACAAGACGGGATTCGGGAATCCTAACGGATCCTACTGGATAGGTAAACTATAAACAGTTATGGAATGACTACAGAGGACATAGCAAATTTATGGCTGACCAAAGGGTTAGGGTTCCAGATACAGAAATATTCCCTTCCCTCGGAGAACCATTAATTTGCTATTTACACTGTACCCATTCTATAACTGTGTAATATTTTATGTTTTTTTAGGGGATGATGATTTTTCTGATTCAATTTTAAATTAGCCTTTAATTTTTTAGCAGTTAATTATTAAAATGTAGTTTATAATAATTTATGTAAAAAAACAATATATAACGATTTCCCTTCTTTAATTACATGTATGTTCATTGCTGCATGCACTACACAATTAGAAATTTCTGCATACCTTCATAATCATATGTTGAGTTATATGACAACTTGAATTAAATATTTTTTGCATTATCAATTATATATTACACGACGATAAAATATTAAAGGAAATGACGTCATACAACAACTTACCAGGGGAAGGAACTCCTCCCTCTACGTCTCCATTACACTGACCAATGGGACAAAGCTGTATGAATTATACAATCAGTTCTTTGTTGCTGACGAAATCAACAAATACAGACTTTTTCTTGGCGGACAAGCCACCGGGACCCTGGGTAAGTAAACGGAAAAAAGAATGTACGAATGACGACCTATATTTATGAGAGCGAGGGAGAAAGATTTCAAATTCTTGTGACAGATAGACAAATACCAATTCTTTCTGTGAGAGTCTACCCTACAGTTACGTAATTAATGGAGGGGGATGTGTGGATATCAATATTTTGAAAGTAAAATTTTCCTGGTATATTGAAAATCGAGAGTCCATACTATATGAACCAATCAGTAATAAATTGCTAAAAGATTGAACATTCCCACGTCATAAACACTACATGCGTACTTGTACGTAATGTTGTCAGATACAAAACTCATACAGAGAAATCAATGAAGGTGTTAAACGATTATTGAATTAAAAAAAAACAACTTACATTGAAATTTTAATTATTTACAGTGGATAACGATGACTTTTTGTAATTATCCCGCTTTTGTGTTGAAGATATAAATAGTAGACTTAACAAAAGCAATACAACAATGAAGAAAGAAAATAATTACACAAATTGCATCTATGTGTAGTCGTTAAAATTAGTTAGAATTTTAATGATTAATGTGTTGATAAAATGGAAGAAAATATATTGTTTCATGTACTGTTGACTTAAAGAGGTACACCAACCCCCCCCCCCAAAAAAAGAAATAAAAAAGTATTTTCAAATGTTATATCAGTTTATTGGTTCATGAAATAATTATTTTGAATATCCCTGTTTTATATGTATGTATAAAGGTTTACCCATTTCAATGTTAAAAAAGGCTTCATATGATTGAAATAATAATCATATTTATTGACGTCACCAGCGTGGCGCGGTGGTTAGAGCCGCGAAGTAAGGAATCACACTGTTCACACTGTAGGGCGTACAGACTGGTCGTTTCAATCAAGGTACAGTGTCGTAGTAAATGCTGGCACGAAAAACATAGCAAACTGCACAATTGCCGTGTATACCATGTATTTTAAAACAAATTTTCTAGTTCTCAACCGGCAAGTGATGGCGTCACTATATGAGTGAAAATTTCTCGAGACGGACGCTAAACTATACACATTCAATCAATCAATCAATCTTTTATTTCTGTTGAGACTCATCAACATGTTCGTATACAGTCAAAAAAGAAACTGCTGTCACAATTGAACACAATAACGTCACAATTAAAATGACGTCAAATTGCGCTAAAATGTTTCGCTGATCTTGCTTACCTGGTAGCTTTGAAAGCTGGCATTTCTATTATATTTTTTTAAATATTTAAATTAAAAAAACAACTTTGGAACCTATTAATTTTGAGGGATCAATTTCTTGGTACAGATTCATTAATTTTATCCTGTTTTATTTCAATTTCTGAGTTAAAAAAAAAAAAACAAAGACTGCAACTAAAAGTAAACGATTTTAGTCTTTCTCTTTGAACATGTTGAAGTGTTTATACACACTCTTTTTATTGCGGACTTAAATATGCATGGATTATCTTCAGTTTTAAAAATAAAACAAGTCTATAAATCATTTAAATTGAACCTCTGAAATATTTTATTTTTCTATATATTTCATGATAGTAGTAAAAATTGCAATTTTATCGCCTTTAACCCCCCCCCTCTCCTCCCTCTACCCCTTTTTTCCGCGTGTTAAGAGAAAAATAAAGCATGGCGAGAAAATTATTTCGCAATGTAAGAATTATTTTTTTTTTTCAGAAACTAATACAGTATTGCAAGCATTTGTTGGTGTTATGTAAACACATTGCGACCTAGAAAATATGTAGTTGGATAGAATATATCCAAATTTTGTGTTTTGACATGCCCCCTTTTCACTACAATAAAGGCTACTTCTAATTTTCTTTTCATTTTTTATAAGAAGAATGAAAATTGCATGATATATGTGAAAAACAAAGAATTTCATCATGTATTTTTTTTTATTTATAAATTTCTTTGTTTATTGAAGAGTTTTTATATGTAATTGTGTATAAAAACACGAAAAATTGTCCATATCTTGACAGTGCCCCCATTTTACTACAATAAAGGCAAGGTTACAAAATTTCATTCTAATTTTTCTAAGCATTAAACATACAAGTATATTTCCAAGAATTGAAATTTTTTATCATTCCGTTTTCGTAATTTTCAACTAGATAGGGCCTCGTTAAGCTTTAGATTTTTATTAAATAATAATGACCTAATCTGAAATAGGTGTTCATGATATATTTTTCTTAGATAATTTTACAGGGGACTCTATGTTGCACACTGGTGATTCTCGTTTCGATCTGTCTGGGATGTCCTTCTCCACCCCGGACAGGGATAACGACAGGTGGATTGGTCGTAACTGTGCTGCTGAAAGTAACATAAGAGGAGGCTGGTGGTTCAACGCCTGCAACCGAGCCTTCCTTAACGGTCAGTGGTCCCCGGAGTCCTGGTACAGACCATGGTATCCAACCGTGACTGAGAGTAAACAGATAAAAGAGACCCTCATGATGATTAAATATAACTGACATTTTATATCTATATATCCATAATTGTTCCATAGTTGTTCACATATCTTAATCACATTTATTATAAATTATTATGACTTTATTCTTGAGATAATGATGGTATGGATGATTTATTATAGGATTAAACGTTCTTTTTTCAGAATTTATCGATGTGTAAACTCTGCCTTTTTACTCACAAACTGAATAAAAGTGCGAATTATTAAAATTATTTCCCTTTGAGGCCGCCATACAATCCGTTATTTTGTACGGCGTAGGAATACTTTTTGCCGCAAAGAAACGTATACAAGATGAATATCGATAAAATCCAACTTAAATTGTCAAAACCATCAATAAATAAACTTATAAAAACTCATTTAATGTTGTTTAAGTCAACAAATATCGTAAATACGCGTATTCTCCAGAATAATTCGTCCTTGACCATGGTCATGTTGACATTTTAACAACAACGTCAAAATGAAAGATGCAGACCGACGACGTCCTCGATTTGCTCTGGTTCGTTCAAAGATTTAGGGAGAATATGGGATCTGTAGGATGTAAACATATGACTTTGATGCTAAAAAGGCAAGACAGGTACGTTTCTTTTCCCTATCACAACGATACCAACTGAGCTGATAATTGGAACGTCGAGAAAATGACAGCATGATCAGCGATTTTTTAAAATTCACACTCGTGATCCGACAGTGACATAAATATAATATTCCCGTCTGTCAGTCCTGTTTATCTCCTTTTCATTCATTCATTCGATCATTCATTCATTCATTCATTTTTATTTACAGTTTCTTGTAATTATAATTTAGCTAAAACGGACTAGAAGTATCTGTTTTCAATGTTTTTACAACAGTCAAGAAAGTAGTTCTAATTGAAGAATTCATCGATGTGTAAACTTTTTCTTGAATTTGTTTTCGTCCAATCAAAACACAGGGAATCAATAAATAAAATTAAGATTGGAATTATTACAAAGTAACACATTTTTAGATATGATATTTTGTGTAATGAATTTAATGAAAACTACAAATATGTATTTTGTTCTAAAAATATTGTTATACATGTAACCTTACTTCCTAAAAATGCAAAAATCGCATTTAATCATTTTACATAATAAAATTTTATATCTATCTTATTCATTGTCTTTTTGTTCTTAATCATATGATATTATAAAGTATGTAGATAACAAAGAATTTTTTTTTATAAAAGTCGTTTTTTAAACTGATCCCTGCGAAAAGTCAAATAACTGGAGAGAAGTAGTATATAATTCTTGTAGTCTATCATAATGTATAACTCCATCAGCCAATCATCTCCATACAAATGTGTAGTTTGATTACGTAGATTTATTTTCATATACAAATATTTCTCACTCGACCATGTCTTTTGTTTGTGTGTGGAAAATGCTGCATTTCATCGCCATATCAATGAATTGGAGAACAAAATAAATTATGATTTATTTTGATTTTTTTAACATTTAAGGTCTTGACAAATCAACTTCATAAGCGAAAATTAAAGTTCGTGCTCACTTTAAAAACAGATGATACAAACTTTTCTTTTCTCTTTTTCTTTCTTTTAGGAGAATTAATACCATGTCTCTTGTTTAGAAAAGTGGATAATTCTTAGAATTCTCCCCCCCCCCCCCCCAAAAAAAATGCAAAATTAAATAGAATTGGAAAATATTAGTAACATATAAATAAAGTTACAAATATGGATATCACACACCTAGTGAAGGTATACAGGTAAAAATGAATTTTAGAATATGTTTTAATTAGAAAAGTACATGTATGCCAAGCCAGGTGAAATTTATCAGGAAAAGCAAAGTGATAAAAAATTTCATATATGGTATTGATGAAATTTTGTCATTTTGTTTTTCTTCCTGAAAATCACCTGGATTGGTATATTTTTCTAAGTTTATATTTCACTTTTAGCACCAAGGTAACATATTCTGGAATTTGTTTTTATCAGTAAACTTTTTTCTAAATATGAGTTGTCTAATTTTGTTTTTTAAATGAAATATTACTAATATTTCTAATAAGTCTTTTATCATTGTCCAGTTCTATGAATAAAAAATCAAAGGATTATCCACTTTTCTAAACTTGTGACATGTCATCAAGTCACTTCCAAAGAAAAAGATTTGCTTTTATCATCTGTCCTTAAGCAGTTTGAGGTTTGAAAGCTAGCTTTAGAAACCTTAACATTATATTGATGTAAATGTCATGGGGGATCCATAAGCTTGATCCACAACTGTGTTGGTCCCGACACAGCAAAATTTTCTCCGACACAGTAACGATTCAAATTTTATGCATGCAACAAAGTAAAAATCTTGCCGACACAGAAAGATCTGTGATAATTTGAAAATCTAATCGCACAAATTTTCTATAATTGAGATTTTTGTTAAAAAATTATACCGTCTTTCAATTAGAAAAGACAAAGCACTTAAATAGCAAGTCTTCACCTTGCATAATCAATTATCTCCTAGACCCTCAATGGAATTTACACATGACGGAACAAAGACAAATAATTTGTTTTCACGCTTCCATGTAAGGGTGAATTGGTAGTTGTAATAAGATGCATTGTATTATTTAAAAAATATATTTAAATCTGTTTTTCTATAGAGTCACGAATTATTTTAGCACTATAAGTCAGACATACATGTAACATCGTATCGAAGTCAATTAATTGTTGTAAATAAATTGCTTAAAATTTTGAATATGTTCAAGGAACTCTTAAAATATTTCAATGTTCTGGAATTTCTTTTTTTGTAATTTGATAACTCGATCAGGATATCTGATAAACAGGTCTGGACGATTTCTAAATATGGAAGTCAAGAACGATAACCAAAAGTTGCTATAAATGAACATCAAGTACACGTAATTTTTTTTTTATGTCCAATCAGACAACAGCATTTTTACACACCCCAAAACATGTTTTAAAAGAACAAAAAGATAACACGTGCTTTTGTTTTTTTTCCTCAAAAAGATTTTTTTAACAAAAAATATGTAGAAGCAAGATGAAAACTTTTGAAGAATAAGATATTCCCCACATTTTTACCGTGAACAACCTTGACATTTTTATCTCGGTAAAGAAAAAAAATAATGCACGATAGAATCGTTTACAGAGGTATAGATCGTACCAGCAAGTTTTTATCAAGTTCAATTATAACATTTACCAGAATATATTATGTGATGGTAAATATAATTTTGCTTAGCCGTCCAATTTTCATCGATAAAGCTTAAATTCCATGTGTATAGATCAACTCACACAAGTGTTTATCGTATGGAGTATACACAGTCATATTTTTTTGCATTATCACGGGTTTCATGAGCACCGAATACTTTGCTATGCAGACTTTAAATGGGCATTAGGATTAGGCGTTTATGGTAATTAGCGTGGAGAAAAGAGAATCCTGTAATTATACCTGAATGCGTTTTATCCCAATTTCTTACCTCGCATATCAGAAACTGTATGCCATTAGAATACTAGTATTCTGTAATAAACACTCAAAAATAATAAAGACTGTTTAATATCTTTTCGATAAGATTCTTATGTCAGGCTCTAAAAACTGAAAATTTACCGTAGTATATCAATTTTTTAACGTAAGTAAACTTTTGGGATTGCCATCTCCTAGAGACAGTTTTTTTTTATCCAGCTTGAAACTTATTCCAAGCTTTCAAGTCGTGTTTGTTCACGGTAGAATTGTCAGAAATATAATATTATTCCCAAATGCGCATAAAGTTTACAAAAAATTTGTTCTAAAAAAATCTTTTAAGCAAAAAATATTAAAAACCACGTGTTTTATTTATTCTCTCATGGGTTTGTCTAAATGCTGTTACCTGATTGGTCAGAAGGATTAGTGTCTTGTTTATTCTGTGTATTAATAGCAATTCACGGTTATCGTTCTTGACTTCCTTATTTAGAAATCGTCCAGACCTGATAAATAATCAGGATAAATCTTTACTTTCAAAAATGTTAAGTAGTACGACTATATCGGTCAGAATTTCCTCTACTTTTCAGAACGTGTTTTTACTTTTATCAATATGTACCACCATAACATTTGTGTAACTAATTAGCGATTTTTAATAAGTGTGCGCATGTATTCTTTTGTATTTTTCACAAATAGTGATTTAGATGCGAATTTGATCGCTAAAATACCGCAAAAGTTTAGCTCTTCGCGTTAACTCTGCAACACAGTAACATTTCAAATGATGGAGAACCCTGTGTTTGAGTCTTTTAGACAAATTGATTCAGATCCCGTAGTGCAAATGTTGGTCAGTTTACTGCGCAACTTTCTGCGCACGGTCAGGAATATATTTCTCTTCTTTCCTGCATTGGTCAATAAAACACCTGTCCTTTCCAATTTTAAGAAATATACTTATACCAACCTGTATATCCTTATAGCAATCTGACCCAGTATTAATGTCCATTAAACCTTACTAAATTGTTTTTTTAATTTAACTAACTATTTTTTTTTTGGGGGGGGGGGTTGTCACAAGAGAAGCCTATAAACAGTTAAGGAAGCGGATACAATATACAGGTTGAAGAAAGAATATATCTTACATTTTGGAATAAAAAGAATTTGATAGTGCAATGTTGAAATAAAGGAAAATATACCCCAAAGTTGGCAAAAGAAGTCGTCACCAATAACTAAAATATCAAATCATAACGCTGCAGTTTTCATAGACAGAAGTTGATACCTGTTGAAAACGCTTTTAAATTACAAATGTATAGTAAACAAAATGATAAGAGGGATTAAGAAAATCACAAAAAATCAAATTCGTACACAAAATGGGAGGGGGATACAACAAATATTCTCATTTAATTTATTTCTTCATAAAAACTATAAACTCATAAACGTTCTTGATCGTAATGGCAAAGAAACTGAGCATATATTGTTACAATTAGGAGAAAAAAATCTTTTTAAAAATATGCTGAATTATAAATCATCTTAAAAATATTTGACGTCCTCCTACTCTCAAGGAAATATTGCTTTTAAAGGGCGTGTTTTTTTTTACAATGATTATGAAATTAATGCAAAGGTAAAAAATTAAGGTCATTCAAAATTTGAAAAATTAAGCTCTTTAAAAATATATATCTCAATAATATGTGTCTTTATTTAAAAAAACGTTATTGCCCCTTGTGCAAAAAAACATGTAATCGCTACTTCTCGGAAACTTTAGACTGTAGAAACACCAAACCTTCACTAATGTCTTTAGGATCTTGAGGCATAACTTCACTGTATAAGTGCAAAAGGTGATGACCCCTTATCTGAGTTATTGCCCTTAAACGTATTTGTACTTACTATTAAACCTTATTACTTAAAAACTATACGTCGTAGAAGCATGAAGTCAATTGCATTGTGACCCTTGACCTTTGACCTTGAACATTTTTCTCAAGGTCAAAGGTCAAGATCATTTCATCTTTTCTCTTAATTTTCATTTTTGTTCTATCCTTTAAGACAATTTTGGTTTCTTATTCATGGAATTTAGTTTTAAGAAGTCAGATATAAAACAAAATTAAAATTCAAAGAAGGTGGAAAAACCTCTTTTTGTTCTGTGAACAATAAGTCTCCTAGTTATAAATGCTATTAAACTCCGATTTTTTTATGTTTGCTTACATGAATTTTCGTTACGTTTCACTTTCACTCTGCTACTGCATGATTAACAGTTATGACGTCACGGGTTTGGTATTAAACTCCTGTGATAACTACAGAGACGCAGAAGCGAAAAAATTCTGTTTATGTTATGCCTCTGTATATTTTGATTCATTTTTACGACATCAAATTAATCTAAAATATCAATTTTGGGAGAATTCATTTTTACGACCTCAAAGCAATCTAAGATATCAATTTTAAGAAATCGTTATCGCTAAACTTCGCGTCATATAACTTACTATGACGTTATATAATATAGGCAATAAGAATGTTTGGTTGTAACCTAAACATACCTGCGTAAATGAAAAAAAAATGATTTTGCTCTTACCTTTGTAGATTGATTGATTGATTGTATACTGTTTAACGTCCCTCTCCAGAATATTTCACTGATATGGAGACCTCACCATTGGCGGTGAAGGGCTGCAAATTTGGGCCTTTGCTCGGCACTCAGGGCCAATGAGCAGGGAGGGATCTTTATCGTGCCACACCTGCTGTGACACGGGGCCTCGGTTTATACGGTCTCATCCGAAGGACCGCCCCATTTAGTCGCCTTTTACGACAAGCAAGGGGGTACTGAGGATCTATTCTAACCCGGATCCCCACGGGGCCTTACCTTTGTAGAAAAGATGCACTCTATTATTTTTTTTCCAGAAGTTAGATATATGAATCTGAAAATATTATTTATAAGTCGTTGTAGGCTAATGACAAAAGACAGAGTCAATGAACAGCATGACGTCACTCATATGTTATTATAAATGACGTATTTTGCATTACTTAAAAAAATGAAATTATACATTTATGTAATAAAGGAAAGGTTTTCGTTTTGTAAAACCCCGTGATACTGTTTTCTTTGCACCAAACATGTTTTCTGTTCAAATTGACTCATATTTACGATAATGTCCCAGAGATAAAG